CATTATTTAATTCCATAGTTTATATATAGCTTTTATAACATTTGGAAACTACTGTAACACAAAAAAAAAAAAAAAAAAAAAAAAAATCTGAAATGTTTCAGATTTTAAATTACGTCCAAAGGGGCGTTTTTTTAACGTTTTGAGTGTTACCTTTATTTATTAAATATCATGTTCTTTGCACTTAAACCATAAAATTCAGTTCAAGAGCAATATCGCAAAATAATGTTTAATTAAGCATATCTTTAGAATTTCCGATATACACAGTCTCGCGAGCTGGAGATAAAAGTATTTTTTTTCTATATAACGTTGCCATTTCTCGCTTTTAAAGCATTGAGTTTGTAAATCAAAAATTCGTTAAAGTTTTACAAAATATAAAATCTATAATAAAACAAATTCCAAATTTGGGCTTTCAGATGCCCATATTCGCAGTAGGATTTCGTCATTCAAAATTCGATGGCTCTATGTACCATTGTTTTATCACAATGCGAGAAATAGACAATCATTTATGCAGATTTTTCATTATTTAATTTCTTCAAATATAATGCAGGACTCTAACATTTTGTGGCAACAGTTTGAAAAGTGAACCGACGTTTATGAGTCCGACGCAAAATCGCAAAACGAAAACAATAGTCCTTCAGGGACGAAGCCCCTTTGGACTAAAAAAACTGAGAATTTCATGTTAAATTTTTATTTTATTTGGAGTAGAGTTTATAAAATGTATTTTATTAAAAAAACTGTAATGTTTTCGTGCATAAATTTTTTTAATATTAAAATATACATCAGATTTTTGGTTCAGTTAGAAAATAGTGCCCATATAAAGAATTCCATCTAATTTCAAGTATGTACCATTAGCCATTTTTAAAATATCATGCGCGCAAGGTGGAAAAATGACGAAAACGTTTGTGACAAAGCTGATTAAATTACAAAAACATTTGTGGCAACACAAGCTTTCTGGTTACTAGTTTCCAAAGCAGCTGTATTATGTAGTCAGCTGTAAAAGGTTGGAGGTAATTAGTTTTCAAATAAATAAAATATCTCAATTCTTGCAACAGTCACATAATTCGAAGCTCATAAGGGGTTTAAGGTGTATGAGCCCCCTTAAATCTTTGATTTTAATTCAATAGCATCAATTAGCGCTATTTATCAATTTCGAAATTCTAATTATCTTTATCAAAGAAGATAACATACGAAATAATCCATTAGTAAATAAATTATTATTTTATTACTTTGCAACTTTTGACTATGTATTAAGCAATCTATTTCGATTAATTAAAATATTTACTTATATATCTCTATATATGAAGAATAAAGTATGTTTGTTTGTCGTCTGATAACTCAGTCACTACTATAGCTATCGTCACCAAACTTTCTACAATTCTTTTCTGGGTCCTGGAAAAGGTCGACGTCCACTTTTTTCCAAAAAAAGTAGCTAAAATCAGATATGTTAATTAAAAATTCGGAAAAACGATAATTTTCGCCCTTATTTTTCCAAGTGGCAACAGTCTCGCAAGCTGGAGATGAAAATCTGCTTTATTTCGAAAGTTGTTGCCACTGCTCGCTTTCAAATCCTAGAGTTTGTTAATGAAAAATTTCTAAGTTTTACGATGAAATAAAAACAGCATTGCCAAACATTAAATACATTATTCCCGATTCCAAAAATTCATGGGAAGCCATTTCGGCGATTGCCATTTTCGTACGACTTAAATCAGCCGAAATATTAATTGAAAACTCTGAAAGCTCTAATTTTCGCACTCGTTTATCCGAGTGGCAACAGACTAGTGCGTTGGAGATTAAAATGCTTTATTTCGAAAAGTGTTTCTACTGCTCGCTTTCAAACCGTAGAGTTTGTTAATCAAAAATTTGTAAGTTTTACAATATCTCTACATATAAGGAAGAATGTTTGTTCGCGTTACTGATTTCTGACTAACTATGATCGATTTATTTGCCACATTTAATCGACTAAAATTGTATATAGGTGAATATTGGACGTAATTTGAGCTTTTACGACCAGTTGATTAGAAAAACGAAAATCATTAAAGCCTTAGAGCCATTGTTGCTGATATATTAAGAGAAAATAAGCTAATTTTTCTATCGAAATTTTTATGTGGGTTCCATATCGCATTAGACTGAAAAATGTATGACTATGAATCTTATTTTTTACATCGTTATTAGAGAAGGATTACAGCGGTATCGTTTGCTCTTTTGTTATACATTACTCTCAATCTTTCTGCCGTCGAGTACTTCCGCTGGTATATATATATATATAAAGAAAACTGAAAAAACGCTTTCGAATAAAAAAAAATATTTCTGGCAGATAGTCTGGCTTTTCTGTGTCAACACTCCACTTAACTTACAAACTAAAAAAACTCTTCCCAGTGACATATCTAAAACTTTTAGGTAAGCAAAATTTCTTATCTGTTTAAATCCCGAGTAGGTTTCTTCATTGAAAACAAATATGAATCTTGTTGATACTCGCATTCCGATATTCGCTCAATTCAATGTTCAATATTCAATATTCAAATCAAAGAGTGGGTAATTAAGTAGAATCTTTAAATTTTAATACTGCATCCTAAATACAGTTACTCTCAGAAGTAACAAATTGGAGGGTTCACACACACAATCATATATTCCTTCGAACTTAATGTGTCTTAGAATCATAACCAAAACCGAGGCGGCGTCTTTTTCCGTAATTAAAACCTCTGCCGTAGAATAGTCGTAGAGTCAAACGACGTGAAGCATGGAATTTGAGATAACCTGGATTATATTATAATCGGCGTTAAAGGTGGATAACATGATTATCCCATCTCAGGCTTTCTGAAGGTGGCAACAAATATTCCGCTATTTCAGACTTTTTTTTTGGGGGGGGGAGGTCCTCCTTCTGGAGGTATTTTAGAAAAGTCATACCCTTTCAACCTTTCTATTTTACCCTTCACACTAGTGGAAAAACGTTGGAAAAGTACGAGAAGCGGTTCAAAATAACAAGCTGGGCTAAATGAAGCACGTGTTATCATTTAATTTAAGATTTTGCTCCATATTGATTTTAAATTTTATCTGTCAAAGAAAAGCGAGTTTTTTCGTACAAATGAAGCTGAATTTTAAGAACCTTTAGGAGGTACGACTGTAGGGTTTTACTTATTTTTACTGCGCTCGGCCGTTTACAGGCCCTTGATAGCTTCGCTGGCTAATTCGATGCTCAGGGGCAAACCTCTTAGAATTGTGTTAGCTTCGGCTAAATGTTTAGTTAGTCATTAGATAAGTTCTTATTTCTTATAATTTTGAGTTTAAGCTGATTTAGAGGTTTTATTGTACGTCCTGAGGAACAGGTGCCATCTGTTAATTCTTAATTTGAGCAATGAAGGGCAATTAATCCCTTCTTAATTTTTACGCTTCTGTTACTGAGCTTAAGCGATTATTCGCTTAGCTGTTTGTTCACTAGGTTCCTCCACACTTAACTATTAGATAAAAAGGGGGGCAGACAAAGAGACTAGATCTTACAGGATTGCTGCAGATTTAATGCTAGCTAAAGGCTTAAAAGTTTTTATTGTTGTATTTTTAATGTGATTTTTTTGCTTTCGATGTTTTAATTTTCAAGATTTAGAATTCTGCTTAAAAAACAGTAAAACTATATGAGATTCAAACTTTAGAAACATCTAATTTTCTGTATTAGTTATAATAGTCAATGTCCTTAATGTTTCATTTAAGCAATGTCTAAAATTTAAAAGGCGAAAAGTATATAGTGACATAATTTTATAGATGAATCACAGTCACGTGATCTTCCAGCGCGCTATCGAATTTTGCGTTGACTCTGAATGAAAAGGCTGAAATGGGAATGGTCCTTACCCACACCATCAACAGAGGAGGAAATAGCATGATTTTTAGAAAACCTGGATTGGGAAAAACTGTAATGGAATATACCCGTGGATGATCAATTATAAGAAAAACTATTTTGTGGCAGCTTTTACGTCTATCGATTTTAAAAGCTAGATGTAGTCGAGGTCAGTTGTTATGACTACGTTTTGAGCGGCATATAAACAAACATATTTAGAATAAATAGAGTGATTACACACTTTCTGCCACGGTGGATGGACTGGAGCTACACATATCGAAATCTGCCTGCTAGCATTTTGGAACCTCTTGGTTTTCGATTCTGATTTTGCTAGCGCTATGGAGTTAAAATCCTCAGCAGGTCTCTTTACTGAAACAAACTCTGATAAATAAATGAATAAACTTACTTCGTGAATATTGTTTGAATGCAAGAAGTACGAGATCTGGTAAAGGATGAATTGTGTACCGAATACTTATTTCTAATTGGAAGCTTTCAGTTTGAATTTACAGCTTTTGCGTATTTACATAACTGCGAATTCACATAAGTTGTATAATACATAAGTCGGGGCTATTGGTGCAGATCCTGTTAGCCGTAAATGCACCTTAGCATCTGCTTCTTTTCTATACAAACGGTAGCTTTTAAGCCTCCATTTTTCCGTAACTACAATCTTATTCGGAGAAAGAGGTAATTAAATAATAATTGTATTTCATTAATTTATGCTATTTGTGTGGTATTGAATGATAAATTATATATATCTGTGTTGGTTGGCCACTTAATGTTACATTAATTATCACAATATTATTTGAAATTGTTCTGCGAATTGTACATTGTTGTTAAACTTTACCATTATTATATTTCTACAAGAGGTGGCTGACGGTTGAATATGTTGCTCAAAGAATGTAAATGAAGCTATATTTTCATTTGCAAAAGATATAAGGTAACAAATTCATTTCCTATCGTAATTTATCTAAAATAATCAACAGACGGTATGAATAACACACGAAAATAATTTTGATTATCTGTGAAATTCTCAGCGCTTATCTGGAATTGAATGACCGAAATTCTTCTTTCAAAACGAGCTGCCGGGATAAATCTTATCAGAATCAACGAATAAAAAAAACGTTTCATTCGGGAGTTTCCCTTTCTCGACGTTATCAGTCTCATAAAAATTTTATCTTTGAAGTGCAAAGGCTTCGCAGTTAGGATACAACAGACACTATATTAACATTTGTAAGCAACTGTTATAGAAATTTGCTTCTGTCTTGTGAGCACTGGTATTTACGAATTCTCTTGAAACTGAAACATGGGAGGAACACTGTCTGCAGAAGAAACTAAACAAAATTCTGCCTTCAGTACATATTATTACATTTGGAATATTGATAATTTTGGTAACTCCGTTCCTAATGTTGGAAAGTGCCTTACTGCTTATTTTAACACGCCTAATAATAAAGAAGTCTATCAATGGAGTCTCATTCTTTATCCAAAAGGATTCAACGATAGAGTGAAAAATTATACGTCTCTATGGCTGAAGAAAACATCACCTCTAGAAAAGCTAATTGAATTCTCATGTTCAGTTGTGAACGCCGAAGGTAAAGAAATTAAAACCAGGACAATAAAAAAAATATTAGCCTTAGAATCAGAAGTTGGATGGGCAACCTTTTGCAAACAAGCTTTCATCTTGAATAAAGAAAATAAAATCTTGAAAGATGGTAAATTAACCTTGAAATGCAGCTTAAATATTTACAACGATAAAGAGATTCTGACTGCTGAGGTTGAAGAAATCGATCCTTTCAGTATAAAGTCGTCGTCGGAAATATGCAAAGACCTTCGAAGTTTACTTGAAAGTGGAGATTCTAGTGATTTCTTTATCAGAGTCGAAGATGAAACTTTACCTGCGCATAAAGCTATTCTTAGTGCAAGGTCTAGAGTATTTCGTACCATGATGCAGTCAAAATTACAGAAATCCAACATAATTAATATTACGGAAGTGTCTAAGGTTGCAGTTCAAGAAATGTTACGATATATTTATTGTGGTATTACTAGAAATTTGAATTTTGACTTGGCTTGTGAACTTTTTTATGCATCTGATAAATATGAAATATTTGGCCTGAAAAAGAAGTGCTCGTACTTCATTGCATCTAACTTAAGCACAAGCGTCGCTGTTGACGTTCTTATACTCGCCTATAGGCACGAAGATCATGAATTGAAAGATGCGGCTGTTTGCTACATATCCAAATATGCTTCTGAAATCACAAACACCAAAAAATGGTTCGAACTAATGAAAAACAATCAAATGTTAGCCAACGAAGTTGTGGTCACTTTAGCCACGAAAACAGATGAATACCAAAAGAGAAGGTCCTAAAATTTAAAATAGAAATAGAAATTTATGGGAATCAAAATTTTAGGTATAACTGCTTGTTTCATCATTATGAATTTTCCAGTTTAAATTACTTATCCCCCAAAGAAATATTCATTCCGATTTAATAATCCTAATATAATATTGGAAAAAAAATGGAGATAGAAACGTATAAAGGAGAGGTTTCATATTGATAAACATAAATTGCCTTCTAAACAGCATATTTTTGTGAGTGGTAATTCCAGTTTTGATGAATTTACTTGTGTCATTATATCTGATAAATTTGTGTTATTATATCTGATAAATTTATTTATGCCATTACATCTTATTATTTTATTTATGCCAGGGTAGCTCAGTATTTTATTTGTATCAGTAAATGCAAACATTGACTTATTATGGTTCCTTTGGAATCATTAAATATTTTGGATTGTCAAAAATGATCAGATTTTCTAGCTATCAAATTTGTTATATGATTTTACTTCTCATACCTGTGGTAAAAAAATATCAATATAAAATTTTAATAATTTGAAATTTTAGTAATGTATATGATATATAAGTATTATACCTGCACATTATATCACGTAAAATAGACACTTAAAGGTAATTTTAGTGATTTTTGTTTCAAAAGATTAAAAGTAAAATTAAAAATTTTTCATCTTGTATGTACTAGCAAAATATTATTAGTAATCTGAAATTTTTGAATTGAAGGCTAATCTTTGGAATATGGTAACAGGTAGTTTGGCGACATTTTGGTAAAACGATAAAGGTTACTAGACTTTAGCAGAGTACATGGATAAAGTCAAGAGTGTGCGCAATGCCATTTTTGTGCAATTCTGGGATATTTTTTTTAAGTGAAAATAGGTCGACGTGTACATGGATGATACCGTGTATGTGCAATTCTTAAAAACGCGGCAAGCAGTTTGCGATTCTGCACTTTCTCCCAATTTCGCACCTAATCTAAGTCATGATTAAGCACTTTTGTTTCATAAAAGTTCTAGCATAAGCATAATTCGGCTAGCAGATTGTTGGAAAAAAATGTTGAGTAAAAGAAAAAAAAAAAAAAAAAAAAAAAGAAAAGAAAGAAAAACATGCCTTTACTTTGCGAAAACAAAATGGCGCCCAAACAAAAACTAGCAGGTTGCTGTAGCAGGGTTGGTCACCAAATTTTCGCCAAAAAATCGCCAAGTTACCATAATCTAAAAATTAACCGAATTAAATATAAGTATATAAAGTATATAATATAATATTATATTTCTATATTGCATCATTTAAAAAGATCCCGTAAAATAATTTTGGTGAGTTTGGTTTCAAAAGATTAAAGGTAAGAATTGAGTTTCTTACGTTATGTGTGCTACTTTTTATCATTTTATGTTGAATATATATATGATTTAAAAAACACAAATTTGATTGAGGTTTTGTATATCTGAGAGCGACCACAGTTGCAGATATTGGAGATAGGAATGTAATATTTCGGCAATCATGCACAATTGCTGATGGGTATACTAGAATGGTTCGAATACGCTTCATAAAAAATGGTAACACAAAACGCAACCATACTGGGATTTTTTAACTAATTGTACAACATTTATTGGTTGAAAATATAAAGTATGAATAGGCTTCATGTTGTAATGTATTTTGCAGTAATTGACAAAACAGATAATCTTCTTAGTAAAACATAAATTTTATTTTTAGTTTACAGAGATAGATAATTTGTATACAATTCTTAAGTGGTAAAACTTTCATACATCTACTAGCTGGTCAAACTTCAGAAATCTAATCTTTAACAATTTCTCACGTTGCTGAGGCAACAGTTACATAATACAAATAAACTTTAAAACTATCATAATATCAATATAAATATCCCACTTTCAATTTTTCTGCTGCCAAAATTATTCAAAAAACATCTTCCATTGGAGAACTGGATTTTCTAGAGGCATTTCACATTCATAAAAATCTTTCTGTTCTAGTTAACGATCCTAATTCCAATCCAAATTTGCCTTCGGCTTTTAGAGAAATTATGTTTTAGTTCTGGTTTCGCCAACAGATGGCGCCACTTGCTTATTCTTGTTCAGGCTTTCTTATCTTATCTAATCATTATTTCCTATCTTGTTCATTTGCGGTTTTGCAGCTGAAGATGATGGTTCGGTAAAACCATCGAAACTAGTCCTGTGAAAATTTTGTAGGTATAACGCTGATTTTTTGTTGTTTGACTTCTGAATTAGTAAATAAACTTTAATTTATATTTTTATAAATTAGAGTTTACAATTTTTTTCTTTTCAAACAACAATATCAGCACAATACAGAATTGAAATACAGGAAATAATATACACTGAGGAAGAGAGGAAAGAACGATATATATATTTTTTTATCTATATAGAAAAACAAATTATTTAATCAGGCCAGGGAGTACGACTTAATGCGTCTACATTTTTATGGTTTTTACCACTTTAATGGACGACCGTGTAATTGTAGGGTTGTAGTACTAGTGCCCATCTCATAAATCGTGGATTTAGACTCACATTATTTTTGAGCCAAACTAGGGGATTGTTATCGGTCATGATGAGGAATTTAGTATGCCCGTCTAAATAAAATTAAAGTTTCTTTACAGCAAATATTATGGCGACGCATTCCTTTTCTGTGGTAGAGTACTTTTTTCAGTTTCTGTAAACTTCTTACTGAGGTATAATACTAGATGTTCATTGTCTCGTTCATCTTTTTGAGCTAAAATGACATCCATATCAGAGTTTCAATAAGGAATTTAGTTTGCAAACTGATGAAGCATCAATTTGCAAAATAAATTCCATAGCAAGTGATAAGGCAGAAGCCAGCTGAAGGTCTTCCACTTGCATATGTGTTACGTTTGAAAACATCCTAGCAGTTCTATCTTGTACTGGTTTTGCAAATAATGGCAAATCTTCGATTTTTTTTCATGATTTCTGCTTTGATTTTAATAGCACGAAACATTCAGATGCACGTATAAAACAATCTTTGACGTATTTGACGTGAATGGTTTTACTCTTTTTGCAATTTCTAGTGATACTGCAGAGCTTGGCAGATTTACATTATTGGAAGATTGTACCCAGTTACATAGCATGGAACTTGACTTTTTTTTTGAGCTCTTTAAGCTTTTTTTTTTGGTGCGTCCTCGTTTGGATATTTACCAGCAAACTGGGTATATTTTGTAGTGAAGTGTCTCCCCAAATTCGACTTCTTTTTGTGTGAGTGTTTTTGGTGGCAAATGAGACAACTCGGAAGGCCATCTGTGTTGCATATGAATGTAAACGACTCCGCCAAATCCTGATTGAATTCTCTGTTTTCTTCTTCAGTTCTTCTCTTTTTTGCCAACTGCCATGCTGACAGCGCAGCTGAAAAAATGAACAATAGTTCAAATTAACAGTACAGTAAAAATGGTTCAAATTTATCTCATTACGGTCATGTTAAGCTTAATTAACGATTATGAAAATAGAAGCTATTGAGAAATTAGGTACTTAAAAAAAATATATTTTCTTATTTTTTAAGGGTTTTGATAATAAATTATTAGTTTTTCCGTATGGAACTGGAGAGCCGCAACTTTACATCAAAAGAGCCGCAGGTTGCCGACTCCTGTCTTAGCCTGATAATAAAAACATTTTGTCCATTTTTTTCTTTTTCCTTAACCTTTTTTTTTTTTTTTTTCTTTTCAGAAAAGAGTTTTTATTGCAAATGCAAAATGTCATTATTTCTTAAAATAAATTATTATTTCCTATTGATTCTTTCAGAAATATAATTCTCAAACAATTTTATTTTAATTTAGTGGCCTGTCTGGTAATACTTAATTTCACGGAGAGTTAATTGGTGAATATTTTTTGGAAAATTCTGTTATCAAACGCAAATTTCCGGTGACATAATTACATGTAATTAGTTTTGAATACTTTGAAGGAGTCAGTTCTTATTAGCGAAGTTTAACATCCAGAGAATATGAGGATTTATGTTAAATTTCTTTTTGTTTTTAAAATGACTTATTTAAATCCCTGTGAGTAAAATGCTTTGAATTTTTTGTTTCTATTTAAAACAATGTGATAGCCATTTCTCTCTATATGAATTCTAAACGCCATTTTGAACATGATATGTGAACTTTGACAGTATAGACAAGCACATTGTAATAGGTAAAACGAGATGTGTAGTTGATTATTTAGTTCAATATAATGGTATTTTAATTTTGATAACAATGCAAAAAGGACAGAAGTTGATGTGTTGTTATAACTTGAATTATTATGTGATGCACATAATTTGAGAACTTTAATTTTATCAATTTTTATTGAATTGCTACTCATAATGTTAAACAAGAACGAGATTATTTTATTACTGCAGTTATCTTCATGTAAAAATTTAATGTTGGTCGTGTGATATCATTTTGCTGCTCCTATACGAAATTAATACACTATGCAAAGTATTATTTTCAAAACAAGAATGTTTACATTTTTATTTGCTTTTTTTTAAATAATGAATTTAGTTAAACTGTAATTATTTGTGAACAAATACTATTAAAATATTAACTAAATGACGTAAGAGGTAATAGTTCTTTGAGTATTTAATCAAAAATTACATTGAAATATTAAATACTCATTAAAATATGTTGAAATTTATTTTGTAAAAAATATATATACTTACCTATTAAATATTATTATTATTAATTGTCATAATCCAGTTTTTCTTGTTTATTGTATTCAAATTATAATTCTTAACGTTCTTTAAGCAATTAAAATGATTGGAAGAAATGGAGAATTATTAGTAACCAATATGGCTCGCAAATGTTGCCTCTCTATTTATTAGTTACATATTATTCGTAAATATTGATGAACATGTGGAGTTCATTATTTTGCTGATCGACCCTTACAAAGAAAATATTAAATGCTCTTACATTTAATTTGTTGATTTATATGTTTAATTTATTGATTATATATATTTTTTATTAATATATATATATATGAACTGAAGTATCAATGCAAGATTATGACAGAGAGTCTGCTGAAATATCATTTTCGTAAAATTGACTTTATCTGAAAGGTCGTTAAAGAATTTGCTTTCCTTCAAAATGACACAAAATCTGAAATACTTAGGTAAATGCAGTGTAGTGTACATATTAATATCAATTCAGCTTATATTAAGGCATAGGTAAATTTTCAAAATATTATAATGATAAGGAGAGAATCATGAAAATATATTTTACATATTTAAATTTCCCAAATATGAAACAAAAAACTATTTAAAAAAATGAAAAAAAAAAACATGTTAAATGATTTTAAAATACCATTTGGTATTAAAGAACAGAATTAAGTACA